TCCTGCCGCCCGGGCTCATGTGCAGGGCAGGGGTCGGCCATTGGCTCCCTGGCCCTGTGCTCCCACAGACCATGCTTGTCTGCAGCATCCTGTCTGCAGCCCGTGGGGTGCTGGCCCCACTCCCTGGTGCTGAGTGACTCACCCTCCGCCCAGCCAGGCCAGGGCGCTTCTTTAGGAAAGTCAAATTTGGGTCATACCCTAGGTCCTTTTGAACGTCCCCTCTGCTGTCCAGGGTCCTTGAAGTGACCAGGTCATTCCGCCAGGATCATTCCAGCTTATACCCTTCAACCCAGCCCAGCCCTCTGCACCTGCCTGTTTGAACACCCCTGGTGACGGGGAGCTCACCACCCCCTCTCATTGAATAGAGCCCTTTACCTGTAGTCAGCTGCTGGGCCCGCTGCATGCCCCATCTTCCAGAGGTCAGAGACAGCCCCCCCCAGCCTCCACCCTCTGGACTAACCCTATATTTCCTAACTCCTGCACTAACTCCCCATATTTCCTGGGGAGTCTGGCCTCTCAAATTGAACCTTCTTCTCCCTTCTCGGGGGTTCCATGCCTGTCCCCACATCTGCACACCTGTGAACGGGATGCACTGGCCAGCCCTCCTGACACCCCAGGCCCTGTCCGTGGGCAGCTGAGCTGTCTTGAGAGGGTGGCTCTGGGCTGGATCCAATGTCCTTGGGAGCTGGTGTTTGTGAGCAGCCACAGGCCTGCGGAGGGGACATTTCTACTCCCCTGACTGACAAGAACTCTGAGCTGAAGCCCCAGCCGGTGCCCAGTGTGGGCTGAATCTGTCCCCTCCCACGTGTGGGCCAGCTCTGGCCCTGGGCCGTCACGGCAGTGTCCAGGACACAGGGCTCCGGCACGCATGGCAGCAGGAGACCAAACACAAATTAAAAAGTGAACAAACGAGAGCACCTGGGGGAGGGTGCTGGCTGGGAATGGGCGGGGGCGGGAGCGGGAGCGCTCTGGGCAGAGCCGTGGAGCTGTGGAATCTCAGAGTTGAACGCAGGAAGGGGCCAGAGCTTTCCGGGCAGAGGGAACGGCCGGTGCAGGGCCCCGTGGCCTGGATGGGGTGCGCCGGGGAGAGGGGTGGGTGGGAGGTGACACAAGAAGTGGGCAGAGGACAGTGCGAGGGCCCTGGAGACCCCAGCGTGGGTTCTGTTCCACACATGGAGGACTGGGTGTCCCTGAGGCTGGGCCCCTTGGCCGTGGAGGGGAGAATGTGCGTGGGTGCCCGGAGCGGGTTGGGCGCCACTGGCACCGTCCCAGCAGGAGGTGGGGTGGCCACGGCGGGAATGGAGGGACACGGTTCCGGACTTCCCTGGAGGTGTCGGTGTTGGGGTGGGGAGCAGAGGGGTCGAGGCTGCCCCGTGGACTTTTGGTGGGGGAACGTAGGACCGGGAGATGGGAGGAGCCCCGGGGCACGACCTCGGAGCGCGGAGACGGGAGGGCCGAGGGGTTCGGCCGTGGAGACGGGACCACCGTGCAGTGCTGGGGAGACGAGGCGGCCGAGGGCCCGGTAGCCGTGGACAGGTAGGGGTCGGGCAGGAGCCAGGGACGAGCGTGGCGGCTCTGAAACCCGGAGGAGAACCCGCTTCAGGAAGGAGCAGGCGGCTGCGTGGGCCAAGTGTGCCGAGAGGCAATTCGGATAAAAATAGGACGTGCCCTGTGGAGCTGGCAGGACGGAGGTCGCCGGCGACCTTGGCGGGAGGCAGCCGGCGGGCGGAGGATGGACGCGGAGGACGAAGTGAAGAGGGGCCACCGGCTCAGGGACGCGCACTGTGACGGGGCAGAGAGAGATGGGCAGGGGGCGTGCAGGTCAGGTTTGTTTATGGAAGGTTCTAGAATGACGAGCTCCACTATAACAGCCTCCAGCCCCATTTCTGGCGCTCGGTAGCCACACCTGACCAGCGGCCACCCTGTCTGTGGCACACAGGCAGAGCCTCCCCCCGAGTGAGTCCGCCGGGCGCCACGCCGCTCACGGCCCCGCTGTGTTTGGACAGGGCTGCAGTCGCAGGGAGTTGGGGAGACAGAATGACCCAGGACACGTCGCCGATCGAGGGGCGGCACAGCGGCCCTGGGGTGACGGTGGCACCAGCTTCTGTGTCTCCCTGACACATGAGGCGTCACCCTGAGCCTGGCCGGGGTGTCCGGGGCCTCCCGTGGTCCCCTCAGAGCCTTCCTTAGGCACCCGCCACCCCCCCCACAGCCGTCCCTGTGCCAGGCCCACGCGCTCTGCCCTCTCGGGCCCAGACCCCGCCAGCCGCAGCACCCCGAGGCCTGCCTCTGCCCAGCCCCGACAGGAGCAGGCATGGGCCTGCACATCGTGTGGCCTTGCACAAGTCCTCTCTCTGGGCCTCAGTTTCCCCACTGTAAAGTGATCTTGAAACAAGAACATTGGGGTCCCCTCAAGCCTGGGGATGTGGGGGCCGTGGAGGGGCCAAGGCCATGCTCCCTGAGGGAGTGGCGGGTCCATTCTTCCTCACTCGAGGGGTGTCGGCCACTGGGGGGGCAGCCACCAGATTCAGGCCCCCTGGTGTGCACATGGGGATCTGGCGTGCGGGGGTCAGGCTGTGGGTGGGGAGGGGGACTTCTGACCCAAAGGTGGGACGGGCCCTGCCTCCCTCGTCACACAGGCCGTCCCGCCCGATGGAGGAGGTTCCAGCACTGGCGGGGCGGGGCTCCCCGCACCACTCACAAGGCACCCAGCTCGAGACTTGGATTCCTAGGCTGTCCCATGGGGGCCTGTGGTGGCAACAAAAAGGGCTGGGAGGTGGGGTGAGTGGAGAGATGGGGGGCAGTGCCTGAGGGGCCTCAGAGGTGCTGGCCACCCCCCTACTTAGGCAGGGCAGGTCCCCACAGCGCTGACAGCGCACAGGGGAAACCCCTGGGGGTGTGGGGCTGCACCTGTGTCGGTGGCACCCGCCCACGCCTGGCTGCCCCGTCGGGGCACTCACGGCCGCAGCAGCTCTGCCCAACGCCCGGTGGGACACGGCCTGTGCCCAATGCCCATCAGACAGAGCCTGTGCCCGGTGTCCACCAGCACACGCCTGCATGCAGACCTGTGCGTGGGGCAGAGCTGCCATGACACACACGTGTGCACACAGGCTCAGAGCCTGGCACGTGTGTACGAGGACCCATGTGTGCAAACACGTGTGTGGGCGTTCATGCACACAAATGCGTGTGAGCCCCATGTGCATGCAACCCTCGGAGCCGCGGGTCAGCGTGGCCGAGGCTGGGGAGTCCCTCCCAGCGGTGCCTGTGATAAGGGCTCGTTCGGCCCTGTAATCCTCCTTACCTTGACTTTGGGTTATTTTGAGCAAGAGATTAAGGTGATTACGATCATGGCTGAGGCGCCACACTTCTTACACGCCTCCTGTGCAGCGGCCGGTCCGGGTCCTCCCGGGGCTGCCGCCCACCTCTGCCTGAGGCCGGGCTCCCGGGGCCGGCCCCCTGAGTCACAGGTTGTCGGGCAGCGTGGAGGGAGGTGGAGGGGCTGTGCTGTGTGGCTGCAGGTGCTCACTGCCATGGGGTGGTGACAGCGAGGAAGTAATGCCCCGAGCATGGCACTTACATCACACACAGGCCGCGTGAAGACCCCCGACCCCCTTAGCGTCCACACAGGCTCCCAGGCCTGCCCCGTCCTGTGGGCGCCTTCCCTGGGCGCCGGGCGTCCCACAGGGAGTCGGGGCAGCCCCCGGGCCCTCTCCGCAGCCCCAGCCCATCTGGCTGCTCCTGTCTGTAAATCAGAAATAGACTCTTCTCCCGGAGCCACAGGAAAATTGTTCTTTATGAAGTTTCCAAAGGGGGGAAAATCCATTTCACATCATTATATTTTTTTCTCCCGATTTAAACCGCCTCAGCGCAGACTGGTTGCCAACGTCAATATCAGTGAAATACACTCGCTGGCTGCCTGCCAGGCCACGCGGTCACAGAGGCTGCTGTAAATCCAAGCATCAGCACGCACACGCACGCCCATTGCTCCGTCCTGCAGGGCAAACACGGGCAGGAGGTGGGGCCCCAGGCCCCCCAGACGCAGCCCCAGCCTCCTCTGCGGGTCCCCCTGCCTGGGGGCGCCCTCCCTACACATCCTTGGGCACATGCCCAGCGGGCGCTCAGGGGACGAAGGAGGCACAGCCCTGCGCTGGGGAAGCCCGTGGCCTGGGGAGCCGGGGAACAGAGCAGAAGATGAGCTCACACAATCGCAGGGGAGAGGCAGGAGTCCTGCCCCCCCTCGGGGACTGCGGCACTGTCCTTATCCCAGCCCGGGGAGAACGTGCAGAGTCCGCCCCCCCCAGGAGGCTGCCGGGCTCCACTAGGGTGAGCCCTAGGGTGACAGGTCCATGTCCCGGCCTACAGGTAGACACCTCAGAGACCATCCAGCTGGCTCATTTGGGGAAACTGAGGCCCAGAGTGGGTGTGGCGTGCCCCAGCCATACGGCAGGAGACTTCAATCCCGGGTCCCTGGACAGGCTGGAATACGCCCCTCTGAGAGGGCTGGAGGGGACCTGAGCTCCGGAGGGACCCTCTGCCATGGGGAGGACACGTGTGCGGCTGCTCAGGGCTCCCTGCAGGCGGCTCTGAGGGTGCTGCGGCCAGGGCCCCGGGAGCAGAAATGCCATCCTGACCCTCCATCCGCAGGGAGCGTGCTGGCTAGAGCAGCCCTGTCACTGATTGGCCGAGGGTCTCACGCCCCCACCCCCGGCCTCTCCTCATCCAGCCAGGGCTGTGTGGAGTGTCAGGGTGCCTGGGTCTTGATTCTGTGCGACCACCACACCTGGGCAGCAGGTGTGTCATGTCCACTTTGCAGATGAGGAAACTGAGGCCAGAGGCCCGCCCTGTGTCAGGCCCCCAGGGTGCCTCTGAGGGAGGGGTACTGTTTCCCTGAGTTTTGCAAGAGGCTTAGAGGGGCTCAGCTGAGCTGGGACTCGGGCCACAACTAAACTCTGGACCTGGACGGCCGCAGCCTCCTGACTGCTTTCTTTTTTGTCTTGCAGCAGGAACGCCGGGCAGGAGGAGCCGGTGGCGCTGTCTGGACACCAGGCCCGGGGAAGGAGGCCTTGGCCCCCTCAGCACTGGGGCGGAAGAAGAACAGTGGCTGGCTGTGAAGGAGGCGCCCTCCCTCCCCGCGCTCGGACTCGCGGCCATGCAGTTTGGGACAGGACACCCCTGAGAGCGCAGGCACCTCCCCCTCCCGCCCCTCTGTCCTGCTGGGGGCTGCTGCCAGCCTCCCACCCAGTCCCCCGGGCAGGCTGAGCGGGGTCTCCCTCGAGGGGCGGTCCCGATGGCCGGGCGCGGGTGGGGTGCCCTGTGGGTGTGCGTGGCGGCCGCCGCCCTGCTGCACGCGGGCGGGCTGGCCCACGGAGACTGCTGGCTGATCGAGGGCGACAAGGGCTTCGTGTGGCTGGCCATCTGCAGCCAGAACCAGCCGCCCTACGAGGCCATCCCGCAGCAGATCAACAGCACCATTGTGGACCTGCGGCTCAACGAGAACCGCATCCGCAGCGTGCAGTACGCCTCGCTGAGCCGCTTCGGCAACCTCACGTACCTCAACCTCACCAAGAACGAGATCGGCTACATCGAGGACGGGGCCTTCTCCGGCCAGTTCAACCTGCAGGTGCTGCAGCTGGGCTACAACCGGCTGCGCAACCTGACGGAGGGCATGCTCCGCGGGCTGAGCAAGCTGGAGTACCTGTACCTGCAGGCCAACCTCATCGAGGTGGTCATGGCCAGCAGCTTCTGGGAGTGCCCCAACATCGTCAACATCGACCTGTCCATGAACCGCATCCAGCAGCTGAGCAGCGGCACCTTCGCGGGCCTGGCCAAGCTGTCCGTGTGCGAGCTGTACAGCAACCCCTTCTACTGCTCCTGCGAGCTGCTGGGCTTCCTGCGCTGGCTGGCGGCCTTCACCAACGCCACGCAGACCTACGACCGCATGCAGTGCGAGTCGCCGCCCGTCTACTCCGGCTACTTCCTCCTGGGCCAGGGCCGCCACGGCCAGCGCAGCATCCTCAGCAAGCTGCAGTCCGTCTGCACCGAGGACTCCTACCCGGCCGAAGTGGTGGCGCTCCTCCCGGCTGCCGGCCGCTCACAGCCGGGCCGCTCGCCGCCTCCGCCCCCGCCAGAGCCCAGCGACTTGCCCTGTGCCGAGGACGAGTGCTTCTCTGGGGACGGCACCACGCCCCTGGTGGCCCTGCCCACGCTGGCCACGCAGGCCGAGGCCCGCCCCCTCATTAAGGTCAAGCAACTGACGCAGAACTCGGCCACCATCACGGTCCAGCTGCCCAGCCCGTTCAACCGCATGTACACCCTGGAGCACTTCAACAACAGCAAGTCGTCCACCGTGTCCAGGCTGACCAAGGCGCAGGAGGAGATCCGCCTGACCAACCTGTACACGCTCACCAACTACACCTACTGCGTGGTGTCCAGCAGCTCGGGGCTGCTGCACAACCACACCTGCCTCACCATCTGCCTGCCCAAGCCGCCCAGCCCGCCGGGCCCGGCACCCAGCCCCTCCACCGCCACCCACTACATCATGACCATCCTGGGCTGCCTCTTCGGCATGGTGCTGGTGCTGGGCGCCGTGTACCACTGCCTGCGCAGGCGGAGGCGCCAGGAGGAGAAGCACAAGAAGGCGGCCTCGGCGGCCGCAGCCGGCAGCCTGAAAAAGACCATCATCGAGCTCAGGTACGGGCCCGAGATGGAGGCGCCCGGCCTGGCCCCGCTGTCCCAGGGCCCGCTGCTGGGCCCCGAGGGCATGACCCGCATCCCGTACCTGCCGGCGGCCGCCAGCGACGTGGAGCCGTACAAGCTGGTGGAGGGCGGCGAGACGCCCAAGGCCACCAAGGGTAACTACATCGAGGTGCGCACGGGGGAGCAGCCGGAACGCAGGGACTGCGAGCTGGGCCGGCAGGGCCCCGACGGCCAGACCTCGGTGGCCGAAATCTCCACCATCGCCAAGGAGGTGGACAAGGTCAACCAGATCATCAACAACTGCATCGACGCCCTCAAGTCCGAGTCCACCTCCTTCCAGGGCGGCAAGTCCGGCGCCGTGTCCACGGCCGAGCCGCAGCTGGTGCTGCTGTCCGAGCCGCTGGCCGGCAAGCACGGCTTCCTGTCGCCGCCGCCATTCAAGGACGCGTTTGGCCACGGCCTGCAGCGGCACCACAGCGTGGAGGCGGCCGGGCCCCCGCGCGCCAGCAGCTCTGCGGGCGGCTCCGTGCGCAGCCCCCGAGCCTTCCGGGCCGAGGCCGCGGGCACGCACAAGGCTGGGGGCTCGGAGACCAAGTACGTGGAGAAGAGCTCGCCCGTGTCCGACGCCATCCTCACAGTGACACCCACAGCCGCTGTGCTGCGGGCGGAGGCCGAGAAGGGCCGGGTGTACGGCGAGCACCGGCACTCGTATCCCGGCTCCCACGCCGAGCCGCCCGCGCCGCCCGCGCCCCCGCCACCGCTTGAGGGCCTGGGCGGCCGCAAGGCGTCCATCCTGGAGCCGCTGACGCGGCCGCGGCCGCGCGACCTGGCCTACTCTCAGCTGTCCCCGCAGTACCACAACCTGAGCTACACCTCCAGCCCCGAGTACACCTGCCGGGCGTCCCAGAGCATCTGGGAGCGCTTCAGACTGAGCCGCCGGCGGCACAAGGACGACGAGGAGTTCATGGCCGCGGGCCACGCCCTGCGCAAGAAGGTCCAGTTCGCCAAGGACGAGGACCTGCACGACATCCTGGACTACTGGAAGGGCGTGTCCGCCCAGCACAAGTCCTGAGCCCCCGCGCCCGCCCCTCGCCCGCAACTCGTGATGCCCTTGGACCAAAAAGGATACAAGATCCACTGCAGCTATTCGTGACCCAGAGACTCGCCCCAGGAACCCACACAGGCACGCACAGCGGCCACCTGGGCCAGCGGGGCCGGTTGGCAGTCCCAAGAAACCATCCTGGCACTCGTGGGACCTGCCCCACCTGTGTGCGTGGTGTACCCACACACACACACACACACACACACACACACACACACACACACACGGGACTCAGAAAACTGTGTCTTAGGGCTGGGGGGTGGGAGGGATTTTTTTCCATTATCTTTCCTTTTTTGATTCTCTGCCTTTTTTGTTTTGCCTCTTTATTTTCTTCCTTTTTTTTAAAAAAAAAAAAAAAGTCGAGTTCTTTTAAAAAGACATAAAACACCATCCGTGGGGGCCATGGCCGGTGTAGCAACCTCGGCCCCACTGTGGTCTCCTCAGTCCGTGACCTTCCATGAGTCCTCTGTCCAGCCATCTTCGTGGCGCCTCCGGAGTCCACCACTGGGCAGCGGAGTGAACACGCCGGCCAGTGGCCCTGGGCGCATCCTGGAGCCCTGCAGGCTCTGGACTGGGGACAGAGGCTGTGCCTGGGGCTGGGGGAGGTGGCCAGGAGGGGCAGGGCTGGGATATGGCCCCAGCCCAGTCCCCGTTGTACATTGTAGTCGTTCTATTGTACAGAAAAGAAATATTTCTATATTTGCAATGTTTGCTGTAAAATGAGAAAGAAAAAAAAGACTATGTCTACTAAAAAAAAAAAAAAAAACCAATCTGCAAAGGAAAAAAACCCAAATACTTGTTTGGTCCCCTCCTTCCCGGCATCAGGGTGTGGATTTCAGTGAAAGATTTGGGGTGTCTTTTATGTCCAGTTTTGGGGGTGGTTTTATTGATTTTGGGCACACAGAGGGACCGAGAGGCTGAGGCTGGCCCTGCGAGCCTGACTGTGCATGTTACCGTGTGTGTGCAGACCCGCAGCTGAGTGGTTGATGGCAGGGGTGGCCCGGAGTGGGTGTGACTGCGTGGTTGGAGTGTGTCTGTGTGGGGGTGGGCTCCCTGCAATGGGACCCCCACAGCTGCAGCCAGGAGCCGATCCTCTCTGTCCCTCCACCTGCATCTCGCCCACCCCGGCCTCCAAGTGTGACCCCGAATGTGTGACCCCGAATTCCAAGTGAATAAGTGGTTGAAGTCCCTGTAGGAAGAGCACCAGGCTGTTCAAATCCTGCCCCACCCCAGGAGCCAGAGCAAGACCTTGAGGAAGAGACTCATTTCCAAGCCCTCAAGCTCACTCCAGGGAACCCCCAGCCCCTGCAGCCCTGGGCCCCACACCACTGTCTTATGGCAGGGAGGGCATGCCTCGCCCGGGGCCCCTCCCTGCAGCCTGGGCTGCCGGAGACAAACCTCCCGATCTCCATCCTCTGCCGGGCCAGGCCACCCCCTTCTTCCTAAAGGCCCTGGTCACTGAGCCCCTCCCCAGCCTTTCCCCATCCAGGGAAAACTCATTCTCAGCCTGCAGCGACACAGACCCGTGACACGCGAGGCTGGAGTCAATGTGAGCCCCGGGACACTGGCTTGTAGGACCCAGGGTGATGGAAACGAGCTTGAAGGCTCCAATGGGTCCCCCTCCAGGCTGACCAGCGGGGCGAGGAGGGACTGAGGAAGGGCGGTGGAGGAGTAAGGGCTGGGATTATTGTCTGCTCACATAGCCTCAATGACAGGAAGCTCACCCCTTGCCTTGGTAGCTGTTTCCAGCTTTCGGGGCCTTCTTTAGACTGAGTGGAAACCCGCAGTCTGCTGCACATCCCCGCTGTGGCCCTGGACACCCCAGGGGCCACAGAGCCATCACCTGGGCTGCCTCCTCCAGGCCAGCTGGCCCGGCCCTGCCCTGCCATCTGCACTCAGGTGACCCTCCAGGGACCCGGCGAAGCCCCAGGGGCACAGGCGACCCAGCCCCTCCCGAGTGAATCATTTTGCAGGATGCCACATGCCCTGCTTCTGTGTTTGACCCACAGGCCTCATGCCCGCCCTCCCCCCTCCTCCCCCCCCCCGCAGCCCTCGCCCCCCTGAGGGTCCTGGGAGGGCTGTGAAGGGCAGCTGAGGACATGTGCATGGGCCGTAGATGCGAGGCCAGGCCCAGGGGAGTGGGGGCGGGGAGAGGGTTCAGGAGCCAGGGCTGGCGGGGGAGGCCCAGAGAGGGGACTGCCCTGCCCAAGGTCACACAGCAACTCAGTGACAGTCTGGTCATGGGACAGGAGGAGGTGGCCAGGCCTTTTCTGCCACTGCTCCCTTTCACTGAGCAGATAAAACGGGCTATTTATAGGGAACCCAGGAGAGGACGGACACAGAGCAGAGGTGTCTGCCTTGGGTAGCAGGGCAACTGGCCAGACGGGCCAGGTGTGTGGACGGGGCAGGTTACTGCAGAGAGCTGCTGCCGAGCAGCAGGGCCAAGGGACTCCTTGGGAAAACATGGCAGGAGGAGAGGGTATGGGGGCCCAGCGGCCAGGACGCCCAGCCCAGGAGCCTGGGCCCTCCCAGGGGCAGCTGGGGTTGGCAGAGGCGGCGCCTACACAGTGTTTACCCGACGCCCACCCGGCCAGGCCTGGGACAAAGGTCCGTGTGCCCCAGCACCCTTGCCTGAAGGAGGTCGTAGCGGAGTTGACAAGGCACATACAGGAGAAGATGCACACATTTATGAAGCACCTGCTATGTGCAGGGCTCTGTGCTAAGCACTGTGTGAGCACAGGGAGGTGTCCAGCCCAGCCCTTGCCCTTCAGGGAGGGAGGTGACCCCACTCAGGGTGACATAGGAGCTCCAGGGAAGGATGGGAACTCCTGGCTGGGAAGAGCCTGGAAGGCACCCTGGAAGGGGTGGCCTTTGGTTTGAATAAGCCAGGAAGGAGGGTGAGGCTGCAAAGATGGGAGAGGCTTCTGACTGGGGGCTTAGAGCTGCGCTCAGCGCGCAGGACAAAGAAGACAAAAGCTGGAATCGGTGCCGGCTTCCGAGGGCAGCCCCCGAGGGCTGATCTTGTCTGTCTGCGGGATGGTGGGGGTTGGAAGCTGAAAGCTGAGGCTCACCCCGGGCCCTGCCCCTTACAGCTGCATGGCCACAGTGAGCCCCTCAACCTCTCTGAGTCCCAGTCTCCTTGTTTGTCCTGTGGGGGGATGCTGACACCCACCCCCTCTCCCACTGCATGGTGCTGTCCATCATGGTTGGATTGCACACATGTCGGGTGGCTGGGGGGGGACAAAGGATGCTTTACCCCCCACATTTCTCATACTCCTGCAGGCTGGCCAAGGGAGCAGGCCACAGTGGTCACTTCTGATAGCAGTCTATAGACCAGAGCAAGTCACAAGGCCAAGGTCATCCTACCCCAGGGGCACGTGGCGAAGGGTGTGGGCAGGGAAGGGCCAGATGCACAGCTGCACCCCAGGTTTCTCCCTTGCTGGGCAGGCGGCAGCATGCACAGACCAGAAAGCCCAGGATGTCCCTGAGGTTCCAACTGCTCGTGCGCTCATTCCGCATTCGGTCTCAGCGCACCTACTGTGTGCTGGACAGGCCAGAGGCATCCATGAAACCTGTGCCTTGCCCTTGTGAGTGTATCAGCCACGATCCCAACAGGAGAGAGGTCACACCCCAAAATAGACTAATTTAAGGCACTTTGCCTACAAAGGGACCATTTACAGAGGGAGGGTGTAGGGGACCCACAAGCCACGCAGCGGCCAGGCTGATAGCACGGGGTGGGGAGGAGGTGATTACTGGAAGCTGGGAGGGGAGAGAGCTGTGCAGAGGCCCATTGGCACCCTGGAGAGGGGTCTCGGTGGGGGTCACAGCTGGCCCAGCACCTTTGCAGGAGAGGCCAGGGATACAACCCTGAACTTGCTCTCCTCCCTCCGTCCCTCCCCCATCTGCTGGCTGAATGGCCAGGGAACCAGGAGGCAGGGAGCCCCGAGGTGGGGCTGTGTGGGTCAGCCCACAGACAGCAGCAGCCAGTAGGGCTGGGAGATGAGGGGACAATGGGAAGAGGCCGCTACAGAGGAGAGAGCCGTCATCCGCTGGGGACGGGGAGGCTTCTCAGGGGAGGGGTCGCTCAAGACTTTGAAGGACAAACATGAGCTGACACAGTAGTGTGGGGTGGGAGTGGGAGACAGGGGAGGGACTTCCATCTAGAGGGAATGGCAAAGAGTGCACAGACCCCGTGCCCACCCAGAGGGGCAGGTAGGTGCAGCTGGGGCTGGAAGCTGGGCCGGGCTGGGGCTGGGCCTGCTGAGACCAGGGAGGTGGGCTGCAGCCGGCTCTGCAAGTGTGAAGAAATCAGAGTTGGGCTCTGGGCTGTAGGGAGCCACTGACGGTATTTTAAAGAATAATAACTTTTATTGATTTTTCCCTTATCTCAAAAGTAATCCTTTTATTACCTAAACTTTAGAAAACAGTTAAACATAAAGAAGAAAATAGAAGCACTTGCTCTCCCCATCCTCAGCTAGCTATGGTAACATTTTGGTATCTGTCTTACTAGTCCTTTCTCTCTAAAAATGCAGCAGGCTTGAAGTCTCCACGTTGCAACCAGATGTGCAAAGAAGCCTCTCTCTGTTCTCTGTAACAGCACATCTCAGCCCAGAGCCTCCATACCTTCTGATGGGGTGTAGGGCGTGGTGCATAAAGATGAGGCGATAACTGAGTTTGCAGGACCCCAGAGAGAAGAAAGTGGTGACGGTGCATGGAAGGGAGAATTGCTGGAATGTGTTTGAGTAAGAAGGGATGAGACTGTTGCTCAATGGAAGGGTTGGCTTCGACTAGCACCATGGACAGCTCCTCTGCCCTGGCAGGAGAGAAGACAGGTGCATGCGTGGTCCTGGTGTGGGTGCTGGGCAGACACAGGGCACAGGGTGTTCTATTTGGTCATTGCAACTTTCTCAGCACCCTTTCTACTCCACTGCATTGCCTTCTTTTTTTTTTTTCTTTGAGACAGACTTTCACTCTGTTGCCTGGGCTAGAGTGCCGTGGCATCAGCCTAGCTTACAGCAACCTCAAACTCCTGGGCTCAAGCGATCCTCCTGCCTCAGCCTCCCG